GATCCCTGTTCTACCCTGGTTTTCTACAGGGTCGGATCCAGCTGCTGGGCAGCCGCGAAGAGCCGATAGAATTGGATCTTTTTGAGCCGGCTCCGTCAATTGGCGACTTTACCAACCTGCTGTATTTTCCTCCAGTTCCGGTTCCGGTGCCGGCCACACTGGACCCGGCAACCGAGGTTTTGCTTGCCCACTTGTTGGCGACGCCTCATTCAAGTGGGCCGACTGACGCCGGGCAACGACGACGAGACGTCCTACGTCTCCGGTTGACCGGCGGTGGTTGGAGGTCGAGACACGACGACGTGGATCCAGTCTCCGGCTCAGCCGGTACCGAGCCAGTCGGCCAGACTAGCCACTACGTGGGCCGATTGGAGGTGTTTCTGTCCGCCGAAGACGACCGGTCTACCGGACATGTCGACGGCCAGAGTGGGCATGAAGAGTGGGCGGCGACGCAGTCACATCTCGACGGCGGACGGTGGGGCACTGTCTGTAGCCATGGCTTTGACGCTCATGCCGCCATGTTGGTCTGTTCGGCATTCGGCCTGGTGGCCAAGTCCGAGGTAAGGTACTGCTGAGGAAGGCTAGTTTACTACTTCCGGCCCATATTCACACAAAGTAGACTTCGAAATTATCCGCAACTCCGAAACAGTTGGCATAAAGTTAGGCAAGACTGATACTTGAATTTTCACACAATCACACAATCACACAACCACACACATAAGCTGTTCAGTATCATTCAATTTCACTTGGCCTTGCCTCCCAAAATGGCATTCTCATAATCTAAACTGCACTGGACTGATCTTGTCTGCAGTTTCGGCCTAGTCGGAACTCGTCTCATTGGCATGGGATCGTGTGGTGCATTGTTGTGGGAAATTGACTGAATCCTGGGAACCTAATCATATGATTGTGGAAAAATTCAACTGTAATTTGTAAGTAAGTAAATTTGATATATGAGTTGTATTCACTCTATTTCGTTTAATGTGACGAACGACTTGTAGTTGACTTTTCCCACAATGATATGAATAGAGCTGACGTTTCCATTGAATTTCACATAGCCTTGCTTTCCCAAAAGGGGTTCTCATCCAGGGTGGACTGCGGTTTCGACTTCACCTTTTAACACCCCAAGCGTGATTTGTACAATGAGAGAGAGAGAGAGATAGATGGTGGTGGCCGAGAGCACATGTTAATTTTCTGTTCTAATTATTTTGAGCCATCATTGATCGTTTCGTACATACACGAACACATCATCAGCAATAGTAACAATAATAGCAACAGCGGTGCCACTGCCACTATCGCTTCCACCATCTCCTTTATGTGCCACAAAAGCAGTAGCAGTTGTAGTAGCATTAATACCAGCATAGGCACTTTAATAGCTTTAAAGGAAGAATAGTTTCACTTTCTGCCCAGATTGACGAACAGAGTAAGTTCACCAAAGTCATCTGTTGGGCTGGCCAAAAGGAGTTGAGAGTTTTACTCAGCGAAAATATGAGCGAATCAAGTAAAGAATCATTGGTCCTTGACAGGTGAATACAATCAACTGCAAAAATATCTTTAATTTGCGATGATGAAAAGGAAATATGAAGAAACACTATGTTTCGAATAATCCTTTCACGTATAAAATGTATTCACCCCACTTCATTAAGGTGATAAAGAATTGGTGGTAGAATTTTCCCAAAATGAGAATAACTTTGTGAAAAGTAAGACTATGTAAAATTTAATCGAAACCTAAGGTCTGTTCATAACAATGTGGGAAAATTTAACTACCAGTCCTTTATGACCTTAAGGAAATAGGGTGAATACATCTCATATAGCTGTTTGACTGACAAGCTACTGACTTACTACTGACTGATTGACATGCTCACTAATTTACTTAATGACGGACTGATAATTGAGTGATTAACTAGCCGTATATAGGTAGAAAAAACAGGTTTCGATTAATCTCACTAGCTAAATTGTTTTGAAGACTCTTACTTCGTCGAGCTCACCAGCAGACGACAGCTGCTTCCCGTTGTACTGTAGCAGTTTGGCTTTAATACGATGTTTAGGTTGACGTAGTCTACAAGACATCCCCTCTCGTTTTGAGTGAAAATCGGCTGAACTTTTGGACGTCATCTGATGCAAATCCTCAGAGCTGGGACTCATTCTTGCAAGTCTCAAGTTAGCACTCAGTCAAGAAGACTGAACAGCTCTGTCTAGCTTAATGATCCAATGAAAAGCATAACTGAGATTGCGAAATCTCGTGCGTCTGTGCTTTATGGGCAGCTTAAATTTTCTGATGAGAAAGTGTGATTTTAGATGGAATCGTCAGTCAGTTGACAAATTGAGTCGTCTTATTTTAAACAGGGGCTCAACTTTCTGCCACCATTCCTCTTATCTACTAATTTCAATAGCCTCTTACCTTTCTTTAAACTGCAGACGTATCATAATCATGCGAAGAAAAGTTGAGTTTCGAGGAATCTCTTGTTTCATAATTGTTAAGCTTACTTCCATTTCGAGTGAAAGTGTTGGGTGAAGCGATTCGAAGGTCGGTTTCACCAGAAGTCGACGGCGAATTTCTCTTTACCAGCTGTCGATTGGCTTTACTGGAACATTCATGCTGGCACTGTTTCCGAGGTAATCTCCTTCGATTCTGGTGAAAAGGTGCTAATCTTTCGTTCGTCATATGACGAACATCATCAGAGCGAGGTATCATCGTCACAACCAAATCCAAGCTAACAAGTCAAGAAAACTCACTGGCAAATCTATAAAAAGTATTATATATATACTCTACATTTGGTCTATGTGCATCAGAGTCCGACTCGCCTGATACGCAGTCCTTGAATACGTTAATCTACCGGGCCCTCAGCGACGACGAGTCTGAGTCCCGCCCATCAATTTCGGTACCTGTGAGTGTGCCTGTCTCTGTATGTGTATGTGCCTGCTTGTGTTCGCTTATGCACGAAACCCGCAGTGACGGCTCAAAGTAATTAGGACAGCAAAAAGGAACGTCTGTTTTTGGCCATCAAGGTTTGATGACTTCTACGCCTCCTTTATACATTTAAGTTATAACCATCACTCCGATTGCCCGGTCGGACACACGTCTAGTTTTGTTAATGAGCCTATATTTTGTTTTTGGTGTCAAAGCGAGAGAAAAAGTAAGCTAAAAGTACAGAAAATTGACTATCATT